TGCTACTATATATATATATATATATATATATATATATAAGAAGCAGATGTTCCCTCAGCTCAAATAAGCATTCCTCGCAGACCCTAAATTCTGCTATTCCTCTCTCTCGTTAATAATCGAAGACCATCATCGTCGTTCTTCTTCCCCTAAATCTTGCAGCGCCATTATTCTCATATCATCACCACCACCGTCATCGATCATCCTCTCCCTCTCGTTCGATAATTGTTGCAGAGACAACCCCTCTCCCCATCACCATCGTCCCAGCCATCAACGTATCAGCACGCCATCTTCATCGTTTTCGATCACCACCTGCAAGTCCTGTCGCGCCGTGATTTCCCCACCACGCCGTGACCAGAGCTCCACCACGCCGCGACAGAGCAACGCCTCCACGTCCGGCGAATCGCGCGCAGCACTCCACCCGCGAGCAACAGAGCATCGGCGAGTTCCACCTCCTGCTGCTGTAGTCGCCTCCCTCGCCGCTGTTCACATACCACAGATAGGAACGTGGCCTAGTTACTGCCCGCTCGACCCTCATCCTCACAGCAGGAGCCCGTCACCTTCACGTCATCACCGCCGAGCCCGTTGTTGTTTCGTCTTCTCCATCGTGAACCAGTCTGGCGAGTCCCGTTTGCTGCTCCGCTGAAAGCCATTTTCTGCCATCGACGTCCATCCGTCACAACGAGCAACCCCGACTCCTCCGCATGTAGACCATCATCTCGTAGCACGCAACAGAGAAGGAGACATATTGTTCTCACCTCTTTCTCCACGGCAGTCATCATCACCAGACAGCCGGCGAGCCTTCTCGGGGTTTCGGCAACAACTAAGAGCACCAGCACCATTCTCGTTGAGTCATGCTGTAACGCCCCGTTCGATTTATAGAATTTCTCGGAATATTCTATTTATCGAATATTATTTATGAGATTATAATTATTTTGATATTCGCGATGTCGGCTTAAATAAAAGGTTGGAGTACCCGATTGTTTTATTTGAAAACGTTTGACGTTAGTCGATTTTGGTTTAATCGCGTAGTTTGGATTTAACCCATTCGATTATTGGATTTATTTTTGGATATTATTATTATTTTATATTTATTTGTTGTTTAAATGTCTAAATTGATTATATTATTATTATTATTATTATTATTATTATTATTATTATTATTATTATAATTATTTATTAATTGTCAAATTGCCTAATTTATATTATTTGCTTTATTATAATGAAAATAAATATTATATGTGTGATATACATATATATATATATATATATATAATTTACTTGTATCATTCGTTCCCAAGTTTCGTAAATTTCTTTTGTGTTGAACCGAGTAGAGAGCCTGTGTGCCCCGCGAACCCGCGCGGTCAGCTCTTTAACCGCGCTTGTCGGCCCAATCTATCGGTCCAACGATTCAACTCTTTGGCCCAAGTGAAGATATAATTTTCAGCCCAAATTTGTTACATCAAACTTGGCCCAAAGAATATACTTTCGGTGGCCCAAATGGAACAAAGAAGGAGCAGCTTATCTCCTCGCAATTTCACGACTAGGTCTTAGATTCTTGAATCGTTGCGATTATTCTGTGAAATTCTTCTCGCACGTTCGCTCAATAATTCCTCTCTCTCGTGAAGATAGTAGATAAAGAAAAAGAAGAGAAAAGCTCTTAAATCTCTTGCTCTCCATCGCGCTCGATCGATATCACCACCATATTTCCCTCTCCTCGCGGGATTCTGACAACAGCGAGCAACCGTCACCGCCGTGCACACCACTGAGAGCAGACCTAACCCTTTCTCCAGGCGAATTTCCTTTTCGCTGTTCAGTCGCACGCCACCAGTAACTGCCGGCCATCCAGGACCCGCAGCAGATTCGATCATCACCATCATCTGCGCAGTCATCATAATCTGATCCTTCACCATCATCTGCACAGTCATCATAATATGATCCTTCACCGTCATCATGCAAGTCCAGTGAGACGTTACCCTCAAGCCCTTTTGTGGTTACCCCCTTGTGTTCCAGCAGGCCACCATCATCGTCGCCATCACCCAAGACCACCGCTGTTAAAGTTAATCCGACGAGCAACCGCTGCCCCTCCATGCGACCACCTCTGACCGACGAGAACACCAGCAGACAACCACCATTCTTAGACGTTGGGTCCCATCTAGTCCCTTCGGAGTGTCGAGCATAGACGTTGAGTTCCATCGCATTCTGTCGGAGTGTCGATCAAAGCCGCCGAGTCCCGGCGTATAATTTTCTTTCCGCCGCGATCAGTTGCTGTGCCACCATCATCAGCATCATTATTGTCGCTGGTCTTCTCTCAGCATTCAACCCCGGTCCGCCCAAACGAGAGGCTCCAGTTGTCGAACGTGAGCCCCGCGTACGACCCTGGTTCTGTTTTTTTCCGGTCGTATCCTTCGCGAGTTTCAGCCCCGTTGCTCCTGTCCGTTGTTCGAGCATTCCGAAGACCACCATTGTGTGAGTATCATCCCGGCGGCTTCCCAGCAGCACCTCGAGCGAGCCGAAACTTAGCCGTCGAGCCCCAACGACACTCGCGGTTTGACCGTTAAGTCCCATTTCGATCTCTTTCGTTCAAATGATTCCCGAGAACGGTAACTAGTCTCGAACCCATCTCGTTTTGATTTTGTGATTTGTAATATTGTGTTACATTGCTTGCTAAGTTGCTGATTGTGAGAATTACGAGTTAATTTCGTGCCTTGGATATGTGTTTGTATGAATTTTGATATGTTTATATGTGTTTTGGATATCAAAGTGATTGCCGTCACTTTGGTTGTTATCGAACCGAGTTTCGATTGGTTTGTTTCGTGGAAATTCTGGCATTATAGGTACTTGGAGTTGTCCTTCATTTATTGGTTTTGGTTTGAGGTTGTTTCGATGTGTATATCGTGAAAGTTTATATGTGATGTCCTATGATGATTTTGTAAGTCGTGTAAATTTGAAGTTGAAACTCCATCTGTAGCTATTTTAATTAATTAAATCGGTTTCTGGTCATAATTTTGTAAAATTCATTAAAAATCATACACTTGGAGTTTTGTGCTGAAACTTTGAGGAGTATGTTATTTTGTGTTATTCTCTGTTGTGTCAAAATTTTAGATAAAAATTCAAAGTTTAGCTATATGAACTATTAACGTTGGATTTTGGCACTGTTTTTGCTTTAATTATTTAAAAGTGCTCCCGGATGAATTTAGGGATGAAACTTGGTGACATTATGTGTTCTTGTATGCAATGTGATGTGATAAACTTTCAATCTAATTGGTTGAGTCTAACTCTGGATTCAAAATTTTGTTTATTTTGGAGTCTTAATGCTCGATTAATCGTTATCTAGGTTCGGGATTGGATTTTATTGATGTTGGCATGACTTATGTGTATTACCTGGGGTATATTAGTTGTGTTCGGGTCTAGTAGTCACTCCAAAGTACTTAAATCGATCAAGGAATCCACGAGTCACTTAGTCGATATGATTTCGGCTAAGTATATTGTTTTGTGTGTTGTCTTGTATTGGATAGTCAGTTGATAGGCTATTATAATTGTTGTAGGTTAGTCGAGCTGAAATTTTACCATTATGCCTTCAACCCTATGTTTGGCTATACCTCGATGTCCAGGTGGGTTTTGAAAAATTGGCTATGCTGTAAATGTTAATATTGTTATTATTGTTTTACTTGTAGTATGATCAAAGTATGCATGTGGAACATGTAGCCTTCGATGGGAGCTGTAACGGCCGTCGAACGGTTATCCCCGTAACTATAAAACGACCCCAATGGGGTAATCTCTTCTTTATGTCCATGTGAAGGACACGTCGCTTGAGACCAGGGCCGTGCTCGGTCAGCGATAAGTACCCTGATGTAAATCCGATGGCGAGGTTGGGCGTTCGGGGTGGACTCCTACTGGCTGGACACTCCATTTAAGACCAGAAGGCCGAGGGCCGTGGATTTCGATGTATAGTCGGCAGTAGTCTATTGATATAAGTGTGCACATGAGAACGAACTTGGGATATGAGGTTGGGATAACTAATTAATTACGTATACATGGTGTGACCATACTTGTTTTATTTATGATTAATGTTTATTGCATAGTGGTGAGCACTACTGTTTCCCTTTGTGCTCATCCCCACCAGCTTTTCATGGATGCAGGTTAATATTGCGGGCACGACAGAGGAGGCGAGTGGTGGTCATGTTATTGGTTTCATTTTCGCTGCTATGAACTGCTTTGTATTGTTTACTGCATTTCTGAATTTATTATGATTACCAGATTATTGATAGGGGGTGTATTTCCTAGTATTTATGCATTTGTGAAAATCCAGTTTTGGGGAGAGTAATGTTTTTGTTGAACCCGGTTTGAGTGTTGATTCGATTTATAAATCCGTTTGGGAGTTATGTTTTTGATGTTATAGAAAATGGTTTTTCAATTAGTAGCGCCGCCAAGTATTTTGAAAGAAATTTTGAAAATTTTATTCTGATATTCGTCTATTAAAAGTGGAGTGTTACAGTTTGGTATCAGACCCAGTCTGCGTTCTGTAGACTGGTTAATGTGAACTAATTAATTACTAGTACAACACCCGTATATTACACGGGTGTCTGTTAAATTTTTTTTTTAAAATTTAAAATTAATGAGAAAAAAATAGTTGAAAATTTAAATAGTTTTTACAATATATATATATATATATATATATATATTATATTTTAGTATGACTCTTGTTACTTGTGTGACTTACATGTGTCATCTTATGATAATGTTTCTAATTTATAATATATAACTACATTAAACTTAAATATATTTTTTGAGAAATAATTTTATTTTTTAATTAATTTCAGTAAATAATTTTATTATTATTATAAACATAAATATAATTTATTTATTTTATATATACAAAATGGATGTCAAATCGACATTCATCAAAAGACGATTAATTTGATATATTATATACATAAAACCGATAAGAAATACACAAGTTATTAACTTTTAAAATACATTTACAATTCAATGATTATAATAGGCAATGGTAAAAAAAAAATTAATACATTTAAAATGATCATAAATAAATCAATATATTTATTGTAATCCGAACCTAATTATTTTGGGATTAAATTAAACTAAAATCTATCCAAGCAAAACAATGAAGCATAAAATTTTGACACATAGGATCCCGAAGCATGCGGGCCTGCCACTTAGGCTCAGCGTATTCGGGAATTATATATAAGGGTGATGTGATTTGACCTTACGTTATGACCACTCGCTCTCGTCGTGTCGCGCCAGCTCAGGTATGCGTACCTAATTAATTTATAAATGATTGTGCAATAATTGATTATTGATGTGAAATAGGGGCTTAGGAATTTATCCTCCTGCTTTTAAGCATTCTTGAACTCTAGAAGAGTGGTGAACTTAGTTGTATGAGCTTGAACTCTAGTGGTATAGAGTTAAGTTCTTTCTTTAGAAGTATTGGTTGAGAATTTCGGTATAATGGCCAAATCTTTTCCTGTTTAAATCCGTCCATTCTTTTCATTGGTGGGATTTGAAAATCCGTTGGTTGGGTATATATTGATTCGTATGCTCGTTCTATGCGTTGGTTTTTTTTTTCTTGAATTCGTCGTGGATATCTGGGAACAGCTTGAACCGATGACGGAGGCAGTGAATCGT